AACTGGACCCCTCATTTGTAAGAAAGGACATAGATGTGCACCATGGTTTTTCTTCTTTCTTTCTTTTCTCTCCAGGGATGCAAAACCAGGACTTTACATTACACTGCAGGTGGAATGTCCATAACCAAAATGCTTGGGACCAGAAATGTTTCAAATTTCACATTTTTTTAATATTTTTTTTTTAGGTGTAGATGGACACAACACAATGCTTTTATTTTTATGTGGTGCTGAGGATCTAACCCGGGTCCCGCCCTTGTTAGGCGAGAGCCCTATCATTGAGCCACAATCCCAGAATTTCAAATTTCACATTTTTTAAGACTCTAGAATACTTGCAAATACATAATGAGGTAGCTCCAAGGTGGGGTCCAAGTCTAAGCACAAACTTCCCGTGTGCAGCACCTGGACCTTATAGACGTAGCCAGAAGGTCCCCCCATGTTGTCCTGGTTGCTCAGTGCTGGTGATGGAGCCCAGGGCCTCACGTGGGTCAGGGCGGCCTTCCTCACCCCTGACTGCGCCCAGCCCTGCACGGTTCTTTCCCACCATCAGAAGCCTCTCAGTGAAGCTCAGGCTCACTCTCAGGAAGCCCCTGGAATCTTTTCCTGTGTTTTTTATTGGAGCGTTGTAGTTGAGGGTGATGACATTTATTGTGACCTGTTTGTACAGGCACACAGTGTGACAGAGTGACCTGGCCAAGACCACCCCAGCACTCCCTGGACCCTCCCTCTTCTCCCTCCCTGCTCCTTTTCCTCTACTGACCTCCTTTATTTTCATGAGATCCCCACTTTAAGGACACTCACAAAGTCCATGGACCACCGCACACACCAGAGTCCCTCTGGAGATTCATGGTCAGAGCCCGGAGCTCACTGACAGGGCTGTCCCTCTGAGGACAGCATCGGCCTGAGGCGCTCACAGAGCAGCTGTGTAGCCCAAGAGGACTTTCACAAGCAGCCTCCTCAGGGGTTGCGGGGGTCCACCCTTGAGCAGGCTCGAGTTCTTGCAGGAGGCCAAGCAGCATTACCTCAGGATCTCCCGATAACAGGGCTCCTGAACCCATCCTGGGATTCCCTGAATTGAATGGTGCCCAGCCTACAAATGGCAGATCTGATGCCAAATGCAACTCACTTTCTTTTCCCTTTCCCCTCCCCAGCTTCCACTTGACCTTCTGAGTTTGACTTATCTTGCTACCACAATGTTCCCTAGTTCCATCCATTTTCCTGCAAAGGCCACAATGTCTTTCTTCTTTATCGCTGTATAAGACTCCATTGTGCATCCACGCCACAGTTTCTTCCTCCATTCTCCCTCTATGGACACCAGGCTGGTTCCCTGGTTGGCTGCTGGGAGCTGTGCATTATAAACATGGGTGTGCAC